CGGAAGGTATCACTTGGATAGGTTTCCTCGTAAGTGTAGAGCACTCGAAAGTATAGGTTATCAACCACACTACATTTCATGCACGTGTCTTGCTTTCTCGCTTTCTCTTATATTTGTTTCGGTTTCTTTCACCGTCTGATTAATACTAAAGTGAAAAAGAAAGATGTATTCAAATGTATTTAAATAATTAGTGTTAGCAGTGTTAGCCAACCCCGAATAACAACTACTTTCAGAAGCAAAAGAACTAATGTTCCTGTCGAAAATTCAATACTATGAGATGAAAAGTTCTTAAATACTCTGAAAAAGACTCTCGACCAATACAAATGTTCATCGATCTACAAATAAATTGCTTAATAGAATTCAACAAATAAATTGAAGTCGATAGAAAATTTATACGGATTGAAAATCATTTGTAATATTTCAAGTTCAGTAAAACTAATCAAATTTTTTTACGAATGAAAACTTGCGCCATTCTCTTTTAATTTACCCGCAACATTGTAAACCTGTCTCTCTACATTCACATTTCAAACAGTCATCAGTTCGAAATTTACTTCCTAGTAAAAATTTAAAACCATTATATTCACAGACACTCTGCACTGTACCATATTCTAAAACCAAAAAATATAAATATACACTTGCATTAAACTTTCCATGCTGACGTACTTGATACTTGAGTAGTAACTGGTTGGTTAAAGCAAGAGGACTCAATAACGGTAAATAAATGTAAGGACACCAACAGAACCAATACAATATAGATTAGACTTCGAAACATTGTTAAATATATTTTGGATCAATCAGTTATAAAGAGTTAGATGTGACTTTTGAGCTTTAATTGTGATCAAAGAGTATCCAGTTCAGTAGTATTAATTCACTTCCATATATCTAAATTTATCGAATTGAAATATTTTAACTAAGCGCCTCTTTATTGCAAGTTAAGCAAAAGCTAGAAGAGTGTACAATAAAACTATCTAATTTGATCTTACCGAATTGTTAGACTTAATTGTTCTTAGCATTGTAAAAGAATCATTTGAAAGAACGTGTTAAAAAATAATGTAATATAATGTATATTCGATCTTTTAAATGTTTATTCATGTGGCACAAAACAAAGCCGATATAATGCTTCAAAGTCCTATAGTATTTTCACTCGATTATGCTAAAACACATCTACTGTATGAAAACTGACAGTGTGATCAAGGTTATTTTATTTTCAAATATTATTAAACGCCTTGGTCAGGAGACGCTAAGTTGAGAACTGAGAGCTGAGAGATGTCTCATTTTGATAAGAATTTCGGGGGCTACAATTATGTCTCATTAACAAAGGTGTTGATTATTCTTTTGGAGTTCCTGAAAGACTGGTTTTCCAGAAAACCGGGTCTTAAAGAGTCGTTGGCCGATATCCTTTTAGGCTTTTTACCGAACGAAGTCGGTGTGTAACACCTGGGAATGTTCCGTCGTCAGACTGATATTCAACACATATTGCCATCGAACCATCAATTGATAACAGCAGCCGTCCAGACTCGCTTTCGAAAAATACTGGACTACTATTTTAATTCGTAATCCTATTGTGCTCATTTTTGCCTTGTAAAAGACCTCTTGACTTATTAATTACGTATTTGCTTCGGTCTAAAGGTGCACATAATATATTCTTGGATGGTTTTTTGCGGATCACCATCTGCGTTAGATTTTCGGATAAGCGGTTGGCAAAAATTGGATGTACATCCTCTAACGAGGTGTCTTCAAAGGCTTCAATCCGCACTTGATGAAATTTGGAGCCCGATTTTGAGGTTGCGGGTACGTAAGTGAAATGGACTAGCATGTCTTGTTTTGGATCTATGTTTTTTTTTGATTTTTCTCTCATGCCAGGTTTCGTACCTTTTTACGACATTCGTTGTATTTCATTTGTGGTTCAAATGTCATGTCTAGGTCTCTCATGCCTACCTCTTTAAGCAGTCGGTCGAAATGTGCGTCTATAAATTTACTTGGGTATCCATTTAGAAGTCCACGCGTGCGAATCTGAAAATTCTCTTCTTTAAAATCTCCTACGTCTGAACAGATTCGCAAAGCTCGAAGTAATGAGGCACATGAGATATTTTGCTTTATATGAATTGGATGTGAGGATTCAAGAGGTAGGATATAAGGTTGCAGCTTGCACCCTCACTTGTTCGCCTGTCTCGTATGTGAGCCTGATGTTTTTTGGGTCTTTTTCGTTCATCTTATCTAGAATGGCACAGAATTCAAAAAGATCTGTCTTAGTGGTGAGGTAGGTATCGTCGTGGAATCGGAAATAACACTCGTTTTCGGCTATTTGGGAAGCTAAAAGGTCCTTTTCCCATTCCATCATGTAAGCGTCTGCCAATGCTTGTGTTACGGCACTAACCATCGCCCCGCCTCGAATTTGTTTGTAATACTTTTTGTCCAAGGCAAAATAAGAGTGAGGGCAAGATCGAAGCATTTTAGCAATCCGATTTTATGGTTTATTATTGTTCATGCAAAAGCGGCTACTACGACGAAAACTGTGAATCATATGAGCATCGGTGCGAGACTCATTGTTCAGTTAATGCATTTTGTCGACCGCATGACAACGACCATCAAACTTTGCATTGCATTTGTCACAGAGATGAGGTAGTTCACAATCTTCTGTTGTGGGTTTTAAGAGTTCGTATTTGTTTTGTGCTATTTGCTTGCTCGTGAGGAGGTGTCGTAACATCTGGTCTAGCGGATTATATGCAATTTCTTCGTATGCATTTGTCTTCTTCATGTATTCATCTGATTTTTTCTCGTAATTTTCTGGTCGGTCTAAATGGAAAATTTTTGACTTGTCCTTCTTGCGAAAGACTATGTTTTTGTCCTGTTGTTTCTGGAAGTCGGCGATTGTGGCATCGAACGTCTTGTCTATTGGTTGCTTTATAGTTTCTTGTCTTACCTCGTCGTGTACTCTTTTGGCGAATTCGTCAATTACTGGTCTTGGGATGTTTCGTGCTTTGATATTTTTATTGAATTTTACCTGTAATTTTTCTCTCATTGTTTCGATCTCTGCTGGAAGCCGCTTCTGGGGTTTGGATGGACGTAACCTGGTCCTTTTTACACGACTGATCGCTGGTATTCATCTAAATTGAGAGCGTAATTTTTCATTTGGGGTGGGTATCCTATATTCGAAAAAATAATACCGAAAGATTTTGTAATAGAGAACTCACTCAAAAACATCCCAGATTTTTTGCAAAACATAGACTTAAGCGTGTTATATGACACACAAAACATTTATCTTCTAAAAGAGTATTTTTGACTAAAAACAGACTTATGGAGCATATTATGATGCTGCTAATCCTATCGAACAGAAACCCGATCTAATATGTATGAAAGAAGATAACGATCACATAATGAATGAATCAGACCCTTTTCCCGGTTATACCGCAAGAGATATACAGACTCTTCTACACTGAACACATAGACATAACGCTTGAAAACATCAAGATGAAACAACATGAATACTTCGATAAATACCGAAGAGCTGACTATAACTTGGTAATGTTTAAAACAAAAATCTTGGACAATATACCATACGAACCAAAAGCCACTCAAGCACGCGACGAGGTTTTTGAGGCCATCGGTATGTTCCTCGACCCGCATAAGTTGGTATCCTATTTACATAAAAGACCCATGAGTCGCATTAACAATCACTTCCCAAAAAAAGAAAAAAACGGGAGGAGGACCTCCCCTAACCAACGCTTAATGGGCAATTAACTCAAGGGGCAAAACAGCAGAATTCAAAGCAGCTGTGGGCTCCCGGACCTACAGACGCCTATACAAACTTCCCAAAGTTCCAGCAACTGGAGGAATCCCTGGCAGTACAAGAAAAAATCGAAAAAAGGGATTAAAATCCGATGAAATCTCGAAAATCTGTAAACATGACTGAAACTGGGGCTAAGGGGGAAAAACGCGGGATAATTCAACAACAGTCCGGAAAATTCATCGGACTCAGCGAAGTCATGAAGAATACCAAGGAGTCTCCAGAAGTACAACAAAATTTGAAAAAAATTGATTACCTATAGAACGGAGCCCAGATTACAAAAGTCACAAAATCTGGTGTTTCTCCCTTGAATTAACTACACTGTTTTTGACGTCCTGGGTATCCCGTCCATCCACTTGTACATTTTCTTTTAGAAACAAAAAGACGTATTCAGAACAATTAAATTTTTCTCTCACGGTCGTCATGAGAATGCAAAATTCGAATATATTCAAAATTCTTTCTAGTTTGGGTAATTTTTCGCATATGTTTCTAGAAGAGCCTTCAGAAAGTCAATTTTTTCCTCATCATCTCAAATATGGTGAGAAAAAGGAAGACAGTAAAGTACAGACTCGATAGCTCAGTGGACAGAGCAGACAGAAACAGAATTCTTACGCTGTGGGTTCAATTCCTGCTCGAGTCCAGAGATGGGCCGCTCCGACTCCGGAGCGTCCGCTCCAAGGAGCTAGCTCTGCTCCAAGAGCGGAGCGGAGAGGAGCGATTAATGAAGACATTCGGAGCTGGAGCGAGCGATTCATAAGAGTTACGAGGTCGAAGCGGAGTCGGAGCGGAGCGCGTTGTGAGTGAAATGTAGCTGGAGCGGAGTGGGAGCGCCTTTTTCTTTTTGGCTCCAATCATTGCTCAATTTTTCGCTTCACTGTTCTATGAACAATGACGAAAGAATCAGTAAGAGAAAAATCCGTCATCGACTATTCATTATACTGAATATGTCATTGTTACCCTTCTGTTAGTGGCAATGTTTGAGACAATGATTCAACGTTCATTTAGTCGGTTATTCTGCGGCTAATTGGATTGTGTCATTGTTAATTTCGAAATGTAAGAACGCGACGTCGACGAAGAGGGAAATTAGAAAAAATAAAATGAGTGAGAAGTCAGCGATGACAGAATAGAACCAAATTTCTCATGCAAATGAAAGTTGAACAAACAAACTTTACTATGTCAGAATTACGTGATCAGTCGTTGTTAACTGAGCAAGATGATGCTAATATATATCGCTGATATATCTTCTTCTATTGTCGTCTACAATAATAATACAATATCATTATATAACGCCGAAAAGATGGCTAGTACTATTGTTGAGCAATTCTTCGATGAGATAAAGACGTATGATGACGGTACAAAATCTGCAAAATGTTTAATAGGTCGCACTATCGTGAAACAATCCACAACCTCAACCTATAACTATGGACGTCATGTTCAACGCAAACATACGAAAGAAATGGATAAATGTAAGATTGCATTAGAAACCAAAAAGTCGGACACTAGCAAGAAGCAGCCAATGATTCGACGATCATTTGGCCAGCCAGGTAAGTTATCTTTAAATAACACTGAATGGAAATGCACATCTATTTTATAGTTAATCAAAAATATGGCCCTCACAATCTCCGCCAATTAGAACTCACTCAAATGATTGTACAAGATTTAATAATCGACTTGGGATTGCCACTTTCTATTGTCGATCATCCATCATTTTTACGCGCGATGAACACCATTGATCCAAGATTTTCTGTTTTGTCTCGACGTGTACTTTGTCGTGAAACATTACCATCGGCTCTTGAACAAGTCATGGTGAAAGTGAAACAAGCCTGTAGTAACGCGAAGTTTGTCACGCTTACACTTGACGTGTGGTCTGACCGTAGAATGCGCGCGTTCATTGCAATCACTATGCACACTATTGCGGAAAACGATGGAACCTTCCAAAACTATCTGCTTACTTTTCAACCTCTGTCAGGTGAGTTACTGAGTAGTACTATATATAAGTCATTAAAAGTTTGCATTTCAGGTCTACATACAGGTGACAATTTACGTCGTCAACTCGAAGACGCTGCTGCAACTTTCAATATCGAAGAAAAGGTGGTTCGGATAGTCACGGACAATGCGTCAAACAACCTGAAGGCATTCGAACAGCTTGTAATACCGGGTTTTGAGGTTTATTTCGAGGCGGAAGACGATGAAGATGAACATGATGATGAAACGGATGCAGCCGATTGTGAAAGAAATGATGAACAAAACCACGTGAATGATGAAGAAGAACGTCTCTGTATGCCGTGCTTCTGCTACACTCTTCAACTTACAGTTGGTGGTGGTTTAAAAGAATGTGACAATGCAAAACCGGCTCTTGCTAAAGTTGCAGCGATCGCAAAACTCAGGTGAGATACTTATTAAAACTTATGAGCAGTGGAAAATTTCTGTGAAAATATTTGATCAGTACGTTCTATCACTATTTAATGTTCTAGTCACAAATCAACGTTATTTGCCGAGAATCTGCAACGGGAGAACATCAGTATTCCATTAACTGTCAAGACACGTTGGAACTCACAACATCATACAATATGCAAAGTTCCTGAAATCTCGCATACGTTGCTGAACGATCTCCTACGCAATGTTGGCCGCGCTGATCTTGTTCTGGCCGCTTCAAGAATTTGCCAGTATTTTCGCATTATTTGCCGAAGCCACGACGCGTACACTAATCGAAAAATCTGCCTCAATTTCATTAGTCGCACCAAGTATTCTCTCAATTTACTTTGATCTCGAACACGAACAGACTAACTGCAAATATCTTGGATCACTATGTCGTACACTTCTCAATTCTCTACGCCAGCGTTTCGGCGGATTACTTGAACGGTGCGAAGTTTTCGATGATAATATTATGAAAATGAAGAAACGTTCCACGTACGATCTTTACAAAGACGATCTTTATTTGATTGCTCCTTTTTTGGATGGTCGTTTCAAGCTAAAATGGGTGCTTGCGTTAGATTTATCCGAATCGGTGAAGGAACGAATCACAAACATGATCAAAATGCTGGTTCTTAAAGCGGCATTGCAGTTATCTAGTATAACAAATAATTCTTCGGAATGCATCATCGAATCGTCCGTTACTGATCGCCGCACAACTGATGATGACACAATAAGCAACCTGCCAGGTTTCAAACGCAAACGACTCTTTTCTGGTCACGAAGGATAAAAAGCTCCGACGAAGAAGAAACGATCATGCGTCTCTGAATCAACTGAAGTTGAAATCTTGATGTTCGAAAAGGAGCATAGCGATGATACTCGTCTGATGTTTTTCAAGAAGGATTCTTATCCATACTTTCACCGACTTGCGACAAGAGTACTTTGTATATCGGCTACTTCAGCTCCAGTTGAATGCGTCTTTTCTTCAAGTGGCATACTCATGCGTCCTCATCGTAGTCGACTCTCTAAGAGTATGCTCTCAATGCTAACTTTACTAAAATGCAATCGGCACTTGCTATAGTTCATTAGTCTTTTTTGTCAATATAAATAATCTTTATATTATAATCAAGCTAACTTACGTATATTGTCAATTAGTTTGTTCTTTTCTTAATCTATAATATATATATATCTTGAAATAAAGTGTAAAATTCACGGAACATCATCAAACTTTAAAAAAATAGCAAAAAAACTTTTTTTGTCATCGCGGAGTCGGAGCGGAGTCAGAGCGGAGCGCTTCCTAAGGACGGTCGAGCTGGAGCGGGGTCGGAGCGAGTGTTTTTC